CAATTCTATTTTGACGAAATTTAAGACGAAGCGTCAAAAACCACACGGAGTTTTGTAGTTTCTTTATTTTGTCTTATAACGGCTTTATGTGGCATAAAATACGTTTTTGGTGCTGTTTCAATGTTAGTCTCTTCGGTGATTCCTTCTTTTAAATACGTATCAATTACTTCGCGATATCTGTCATAGAACTATTGATTATTCTGAAATCTAAGACTTAAACTCTTAAATCTAATTTTAGCAATCTCCAAATTATCTCCAAGTTCGTTTGAATTATAAGTCCAGGGAAGGCGAACAATATAACGATTGCTTTCAAATTTTACAGACCCTTTCAAATTCTCGGAAATTGAATTATCTTCTAATTCGAGTTCTTTATCCGAATCGTAATTTAACCCCATAGATTCAAGCTCTCAGAGTCTTCAGCAAACTAGACACTGATTCATTCTGTTTATCTTCATTATTATGAACCACAACTTTCATAGTATTCACATTACTTGCTGAAACTCCGTAAGCCCTTTCTGTTCTAGTAATGGTGCAACCTAATTTTGTTTCAACCGCTACTAAGGAATTAGACAGTCTGTGAACTTTACCCGTAACTATTTTCCAATAAAAATCCTCTCCTATCAGCAAAGGAATTTTCAACCTTTTATTACTTTGTTCTAATTCATTAGAAAGCTGTATTCCCTGATTTTTAATAAGATTTAACTAATTCATTTTTAGGAGAAAGAATGTGTGATTTGTTATTGACAGCAGAAATTAAAGCTTCTGTTTTGACTTCATATCGATACTTTGAATTACTCAAAATGAGACTGGTTCTGCGCTACCGGCGCAGTGCAGCCGAAAGAGAATATTTTTATTTTTTTCCTCTCCAATAATCGGTAGTTTTAGTTCTTACAGCTCGAAGTGTCTGAAGAGTTATTTGCTGTTGCGCAATCGGAAACCGAGGAGAGGACTGCCCCTTGAACGGGCTTCTTGTCTGATGCGTTTCATCATAGTGTAGCAAAGTATGATGCCGTTGATTACAAATGCGACACGTTAGTTTCGGTTTACAGTGCCTAGCTAAATGACACCTTTCATTAAGACACACGAAGCAATTTCCGCTTCGCTTTAACGCTTCCCTTTTTTCTGGTACAGTTTTTTGACGACTCTGAAGTATGATTTTCAGAACAGAATAAACAGCTATTGGAACGAGATGTGTTTAATGTTGCCGCTGAACTAATTCTACTCTTATTATAATCCCGATTTCTTTCGTTGTCGTTCTTGAAACCGCCACTTCTTTTCAGAGTGAGATTTCTTTTCAGCAACTTCAGAATCGGTTGGCTTAATTAAAAATCCTGTACGCTCTCGACTCTCTATATCCTTTCTTAGAAAACTTAGAAAATTCAGCAAATTAGTAATTTTTTTCTGGTTATCATCTTCGTATTTCCTATTAAATTCTAGTGCTAAGTCATTCGGAATCACCTTTATTAGTATCGGATACAATAAGGTACTATACGAATTTGGCAAAATATTATACGATTCTAATCCTCTAATTTGTACTTCACAACAATCATATAATTTTCGAAGTGCTGTCACATCGCAAGGCCTTTTAACCGGAGTCAAAATTAACAAATTATTCATGTGGGAATCTATTTATTAATTCTTTGCGTCCGAAGCGATCTTTTAAATATTTTTACTCGTAATTTTCCGCTGTCGATGTTAACCCTTGTATTGCGGTTTCTGCATCGGAAGTAAGAATTTAAGTAATTGTATTTATCTACTGCGTGTAGACTTTCGTTTTCGTGTACAGCTGTCTCAAATCGTGCTCAAAACCCTGGCGTACTGCATGCATACTTTCCAGAAAATGTTTCCAAGGCCAGTTTTGGGAGTTTAATTTTTTTTTTTTCTTTTTGCGATTCAGTGACAGTTCCACATGAAGTAGAATTAGCACTATGTGGCTTGGCACCTAAATATCTTTTCGCGCGTTATTTCCAAACAATAATTTTACTTTTATACTCTTCTCTAGAAATTACTTCATCTTCTAAATCCCTTACATCAATTAAAGTTTCAGTATCTTAATACGCTAAGTTTTTCTTCTTTACTAATTAACTGAACAACTGTTTCTTCAACTACATATTTATCCCCCTCATTAGTAATTTCTGTTTTTATCTTATTTATTAGTTTCGTAACTACTACTCTTATAACAGATCGTTTCTTTTTAAATTTTTCTAGATCCATTTTTGCTCAAAGAAAATCTATTAAATTTTAATTAAATTCAAATTCATCCCAGTGGCCTCTCGTTATGGCGCCACATTATTATTATTATTATTATTATTATTTTCACTTTAACTAGTTAATAAATGTAAAACAAAAGTTGCTTACCTTGTTCTCAGCGGGTTCGTTGCCAGGGCCACTAGTTATTGATCCTCCTTTTCATCTATATCCTTAGACATTAATAATCCAAAAATAATCAATATATTCTTTACACAAAACATAGGTTTAATACGAAGCAAAATATCTACATATATATTTACAGATAGAAGGCTTAAATTTGGCACGACGCAGCGTGCAACTTCTCCCTTGTATAGTTCTCGAGCGATCTCTGCCCGTGAGTTCATAGTTCGTAATGACCTCACACAGCAACATGGGATCTCAACAAGGGTTGAGTTGCAACAACATACAAGGAAATCATGTGGTACACATGAGATTTTTTTTTTAATTTAGTGGTACTATCTGCATTTGCCAGAGTGATTGAAATGTTGCTGAAGATCTCCATTAAAGTTGTTGTTAGCGACAGATGACCCATGAGCAAAATCTGTTGTCTATCGTTGTTCTATCCTTACACTTAACTGAATACTGTCTGAATCATTACAGAGTGTAATGATTCAGACAGTATCCTCAGGTGCCGTTACGTGATGCTTCGAGTAAAATCGCTGCATTGTTTACTAATTTATGTTTATCACAAGATAGAGGTCAAAAAAGGAGATGAATGATCGGTGCTTTGTAGAGACATTAGGCTAATTCGAGGCCGGAGAGATGAAAGATTAGCAACCGCCTTCGCCGGGAATCGAACCACGGACCTCTGGAATACCGGCTCAGTGTGCTGACCACTACAACACGAAGGCACGCTAGGAAGGCGGGAGAAATATCTTATATACACCCCCTTTTAAAGGGCGACTGAGGTTTTTAGGGGACCCAATCGCCAAATCCTGGGTGGTGCGAATCATCATCCGTCACCCTTTTAGTTCGGGCGCTACTGTAGACTCATGAGGTATTTTTTTGAGAAGCAAGAGAGATGAAAAATTAGCAACCACCTTCGCCGGGAATCGAACCACGGACCCCTGGAATACTAGCTCAGTGTGCTGACTACTGCACCACGAAGGCACGCTAGAACGGCGGGAGAAATACCTTATAGCTTCAGATACGGTATAGTAACCAACACGTTTTAAGTAACCGTTCAGGACGATTCCACTTTTACCAGCCTAGCGTCCTGTATGCGTAACTTGAGAACGGAACAATGTTTTGAATTTTCAAATGCCAGTAGATTGTGCTAAATGGTAACAGTTTCCACATCGGATAAGTCATGTTGCTTTTAACCTTCATGTATGAGCCTCGGTTTTTGTTCTGTGCTTCTGGTTTCAATAGATTTATTGGTGTAAAGAAACTGGGAATTACAGCTCTCTAATTTACAGGGACAACCGCTTGTTTGTTTATTTCGTTAGGAATTTCTTTCTTTCTTTTTTTTTTTTTTTCCTACGTTTTTATTCTCTGAGTTTTTTGTTATTAGAATGTTAGGAAATGCATCCAGTTCAATGTTTTCGTTTTTTTTCTTTTCTTTAGGAGAATGTGGGAAAACTAATCTAAGCTGATTATAGCAGGTGTAACGTCGCCGAACTTCCGTTATGGAAAAACTCTGACCAGTTGTCCTTTTTTATATTTATTTTAAAACTTAACATAGACTTTCTTGGTTAATTAAAAAGTAACTTTACAGCATTATTATAGAACGGGAAAGATATCAGCTTTCCCGATGCGTTGTGCATCTTACTTACTTGGCGAAAAAAGCCACCATTACCCTGTGTGTTGATTCTCGTTTTGAATTATTCCACACACAGTAGAATCATTAAATTGGAATTTAATTACCTACAGACAATTATTACTTAATTTTCTTTTATATTTTATTATGTGTATAGTATTTGTTTTCTTGCTTATAATTATACTTTTAGTATTCCGCATGTTTAATTTATTTCTATTAATGTGATATTCTTCATATTAATACATATTAACGCACTAAGTACATAACTTCAAAAATTGAGGTCCTTCTATTAAAAGGCTGATTTATATGAATTTTTATGATTTTATATGAATAAGAACTGGCGTATAATTTGATTTTCCATTGCTCTGGAAGTCAATTCAGAGCCCTCAACGACAAAATGCCAATGCGCATCCCAAGAGATAATAATTTAAAAAGTGCAAACATATTTGGGACACTGAATAATTTCTAACGTAAAAAATCACTGCCTTGTTTACAATCAGGATGTTTTAAATTTCCTTACTGTTGAAAATCTTGGTAATACGCACATTCAGAAGAAAGTTGCAGAATGTTTTCAGTGAAGCTGTAAATTTTTAATTTCGCTTATTCTTGATGAGTCATTCTCATTTACTTCAATATTTTTCGTTTACTCACTCTCTCATTCTGCTGAATAAAATATTTTAAGCTGCGTTAAATTTATTTTCGATTATATATTGAAATATTTTTTTGTTGTTGTATACAGAAAGAACGTGAACATACATTCTTTTAATTTAAACAATTTATATGATCAAAGCAAATTGGATACTAACGCAGTATTTTTCTAGACATGGAATTATTTAAATGTCAAATCATAGCAATCAATGTTCATTAATTATACATTCTTCGAAATATTTTCTTTCTTATGCACATTTTTAAAAACAATGATTTAAGCATTTTCTGATCTCAGCGATTTAATTGTTATGTGTAATTTTGATTTATTTTTTTTTCTTTCAAGGAAAATTACGTACACAGAATGGAAATCTGATGCCAAAAGAGCTTGATTGGGCGAAAGATCTAAATTGCGTAAAAAAGGATAGAGAGTTTTGTTTCAGATCAGGTGAGAATCATATAATTGATCTTCGTAAAACTAAAAACATAAGTACTCTCCCTCAAAAGTATTTGTCATTTACTTAGCCTACTCTCAGTTTCACTGAACATATTTTATGAACTCAGTAATAGTTTCTGTGCGCATTACGTACAACATTGAGAAGGAAAATAAAAGTCCCATATTCTACGAGAAATTCTTACTTAATCCTTCTTCTACAACCTTCTTCAACGCACCATCAAACAAATACTTTTCGTTCTAGCTTTGCAAGGACCAGTTTTCTTCCCAGCTTGCTGAACAATTATCGCTTACATTAAATGTAACTAATGCAATTAAAAATGGTATGAATACATGAAATAAAAATTTGACATTTGCATAACAAATTAAACGCTAATCTTGTATTTAGCATTCAGTTATACAGTGATGAGCGATTATTGATAATGCCTTGGTGTCTGAAACATTTCCCCGGGTTCGTAGACTATCTACTATATAGTAGATACCTACTAGTTAGGACCGAAACGCATCTTTGTAGCCTTGCATTAATATGTATCTCTTTTGACAGACATTCTATAATCTTAGCCTACTCTGACTTGTACTTGTGGTTTTAGGTTTCTCGATTTTGCAATATTTTTGATTTTTAGTTACGACTCATTAGTCAGGATTCTATCCACGTTTCTCCAATTCTTTAGTATTACACTTACTTCCAAACTTCGTAAAAAATATACTTTAAAACTAGTAGCAAAATCTAATTCCTTTAATATTTTCATCTTTCCAGAAGTCCAAGACGGTTCATCATATCGATGAATACAGTACATTTCCTCGATTAAGCCCCTGAACATATTTAAAAATGGGTCAGAAATTATAATTTACAAGTTTTCAAAAAGTTAAAATAGCACCCGTTTGTCCAGAAAACCTTTATAATACCACAGACAACGACAGCTCAAAGAAACAAAACAAGCAAGCACTGCTTTTCCTGTTGGAGCATTCCATGTTCCGTCAGACATGTTCAGCTCTTCTCTACTGCCTCTAAGTAACTGCTTCCCTTCAGAGTTAGCGTCAACATTTATAATCACAATATTATTACACTAATTTATAACACACGTAACGACGTAACGGCACATGCAATCCACTCTTGAAAGATACTAGCATATCCTTTGTCAGCAAATGCCCAATTTTCTCTTTGGATTATGGCATCACATCTTCTGGAATGTTGTTGAAATGGAACTGTTTCCAAATTGTTTCACATGAAATTTTATCGTTTGAATTCTTGACCAACACCACTACTTCATCGCCTATAATTTAGTTAAATATTCGAAGAGTACAAAATTCTTGAGCTTTTATTTAAAATATTTTTGCTTTCTAAATGAAATTGTGCTGAAGAAACATAATAAAGTAGCCCTTAGAAACAAGGAAACTGTTTTCACTTTATATAGAAGAAAATTTTCAAGATAACAGTTAAATTTCTAAATAACTTTACAGCTCTTTGTTACATTATTTATATTATGCGTTAATTGGTTTCTTTTAATGAATGGAAATAAATATTAATCGAAAGGAAGTTTCCGATTTCCTCTATAACACGGGCCCTCAAAATATTTTACCCCACTCACCCCTTTTGCAGGTGTTAGACAATCATCCCCCCTCCTTTCCAAAACTCGAAAAATACATATTGATTTATTTAAATTTAGACTATTTTTAAAGTGTCTTTATAATTGAACAGAAAAAGCATAGAAAATGCTGACAAATACCAAAATTTTAATAAAAGTAGTTTTTTGTATTCATACACTGAAACTAAATAGCTGAATAAAATGCTGACCGCATTTCCATCCCCCCAAAAAAAATTTAATTTTCCTCCGGTTGAGAATCTCTGCTCTATAAGTTCATTCGCAGAAAACTCTGAATTAGTTTGATTAAGGATATAATATGGAATCAAAATTGGTATTAAATTATCTCATGGTAAATACACTTGTAAATTGTATGAGTGTTAATTTGGTTAAAACATACTCCTCGAGAAATTTTTCAATTTACAACTTCGAAAAAATAAATAATTGCTTGGTTGCAAATTTTAGAACTAGTTGTCATGAACCATTATTTAGTAGTAATTTTCCAAATTCACTTGATTGAAGATTGTGATGCATTTTTTCGAATCAGTTGTACTTATCAGAAATTCTTGAAATCAAGTTTCAGCTTTTTTATTACTCATTTTCATTTTAAATTATGTCACGCATGATTTTTATAGAACTGGAAATGATGCGACTAGGATTAGAATATCTCTCCATATTTGTTTTCAAAATGTTGTTTATTTTGCTCGTCACAAAGCGATGCATATTTTAATGGGGGCTTAGTAATGAATTGTAATAATAAATTTTCCACGTATCATATATCCCATTCGTTTATTCAGGTGATGCGAGAGGAAACCAGCATACGATTCTGGCAGCACTGCATACCATTTTCGTGAGAGAACACAACAGGATGGCCACTGAAATGAAACAACTCAACCCTCACTGGGATGAAGAAACTACATTTCAAGAAACGAGGTTTATTTTTTTATGTAGAATTGCAAATAACAGTACATCATAAGCAATAGCGACTTTTCTTTCAATCTCATAACATTTTCATATACAGTGAAAATAATATAAATATATCTAATTCGCTTTTGTTATTAGAGGATGCATATTTAAAAAGTGATAAGCATTAACCTAAATAAACCATGTATAACTTAAAACACTGATAATTAGTTATAGGAAACTCTTTTAAAATATACGTCAAAGTAGTTCAACAATATTTCGCAAAGTCTGGCTTCGATCAATCTCCATTCGTTATAATCCGATTTGAAAATTTCAAAATAAATTCAGCTGTTATTGAGCAAAATAACAGGTAAATTGTACAAAATTAGAGAACAAAATTTGTTTTTATTCATAAACAATCGCTTTTTACTCTTTATATAGTTGTAGATTATTATTATTATTATTATTATTATTATTGAAGCAAGAGACATAGAAAATATGCAATATCCTCGCCGGAAAACGAACCTGGACCTCTCGAATACGCATCGAGTATACGTCCAATTACATCCCAAAGGAATGCGAAAAAGAAGTGAAGCAATTTTTTCTGTTTTAAAGTTAAGTTATACCTATACATACAATATACTCTAGATTATGCAGATGCGAATCACCCACACTGTAAAAAATTTGGTTCGAGGTTTCACCAAATTATGGTACCAAAAACGTTGCAACCAAAAGATGGTAAAATGTTGTTCCATAATTTGGTGCTTTGCGTGAACCATTGTTTGGTAATATGTTGAACCATGAATTAGCATCCAGGATTAGAGAATGTTGAACCGTGAAGTAGGAATACGTTGAACCATAAATTGGAGATATATTGAACCATGATTTAGAAATACTGTAAACCGTTAATTATGATTATATTTACCGTTAATTGTATTAATTGTAACTATTTTTAACTATTAATTATAAGGCACAGGAAATTATTTCAGAGCACAGGCATAAAATTTCACATTAGCCATTTTCTGCTGATTCTTCTGGTATTTTTTTTATTCCATTATTGCTATGGAAATGCTTGTTAATAATTATTGTTATAAGTTATTAATTATTATATAGTCTATTATACAATTAATAACCTATAGCAATCGACTGTTATTTTTTTCTATATAAAAAACAGCATGCAAATTAGACTATTAACAAAAGTTTAGAAATCTTTTTATTAGACTCATGTTTTATTATTTTTAATTTTGCAAATATAAACAAGTTTTCAGAAGCAAAATCGCAGATTGCAATTGAATAACGGTTCCATTTTATTTAACGCATCAGCACAATTTTTAATTTCTGGTATAAAATTGTTTAATTCTTAAATCACATAAAAAAAACTTTGTTTTCCATGGTAAATTGATTTGACTAAAGCCTGCTTCCAGTAGGTACGAAGAGAGGAAAGTCAATAATGTTTGTTAAATGTAACAATATTTATTTTGAGATGTTTCTCTTGAATGGCTTTCAGATTCCAAAACTTTGCAGATTATGCTTAAGATCTTTCTTCAATGGAATAAACTCTTACTGCAGCATAATATAAGATATATCGCAAATCAGTGGTGATCTCACTGTATATCTTTTGTGAAGATATACAGTTTCAATGACAGGCAATAGCATTTGTGTATCGCCCTATTTTGTATAAATCCTTTCTTCCCATCTGATATAGCTTTATATGAAGAAAAAATTATCAATTTTATTATTACATTTTTTGTTGTAAGATTTGAATATGCCGATCTACTGCTGGTGCATGTTCAACTATTGATATCGATTCCGTCGGGAATCCTGATTTTTCAGTATTTAAATTCAAAAGAGAGAGAGAGGCATTTTCCCGACATAAAAATGAAATTACACATTGTTTCTAGTGCATAATTAATACATATTTAGTTGATTCAAATTAGATACAAAAAATAAATTATTCTACGCATAATTCGTACTTTTATTCACATTCCATGGCATTTATAAGCTGATTAAATTGCTGGAGATTACGACAAATATTACTTGGAAAATTCTTTTAGTCCAGACCTTAAGAACTTCATTTATAGTATAGGTTAAAATGTAGGTATGTTAAAATATATTTTCATACCTATGACACAAAGTAAATTTTACGAGGATTCAAATGATACTTTTATTTAAAATCCGATTTTATTTTCTTAGAGATTAAACGTATCTCTCGATAATATAACTGTTAGACTATAAGAAAATGAAAAAAAAAACAATACTAAAAAAATCATTCCAAAGCATTAAGGAAGAACATATTGAAATAATCAGATACTGAAATAATGCACAACACTTACACAAGAATATTAATAACTCAAGAAATATTTATATTGATTGCTGCATATGTATATATATATATATATATATATATATATATATATATATATATATATGTATATATATACATATAAACAAAGCATAATTATATATTATATTGCATAAATTAAATTTAATTTACCTACATAAAGCCATTTTGCATATCAACTGCTGATACATATTTTAGTAAATAATTTTCCGAATTAACTATCACAATTGTAGCAATTAATATATTTCAGTTTTTGTAATTCAAAATATATTACTCTTATTGCACATACATTAAAATGGATATGTAAAATGCATTATGAAATGAAAACTTAATAAAAGTAGGCTTGAAATTAAAAGTTTTGAATTTTGCACAGAAAATCTGTAAAAACATGAAAATAAAATATTTTACGTTAATGCCATCTTATGATGAAGATTCATAACTTTACAAGATATTTTACCACTTATTAAAAAAATAATGCTGTAAAAATTAGTACAAGATATTTCTTTTGGATAGCTTATATTCATAGTGTAGTAATAACGTAGCAGTAACGCAACAGCCGAAGTAAAATCTTTTGAGACACAAAGTTTCTGCAACTACCAGAAGTAAGAGGAAGAAGCAGCATGTCCAACTGAAAAAAAATTAGGTGCCAGAATAAGTCATTCACACAAGATGAAGTCTCTCTGCACACCACAAATCCTGTCCTACATCTTCTACAATCGATAAATGAAAATGTCCACGCCCTGAATTGCTCTAACATGCACGAATAGCCAACAAGGTCTCTGCATGTTATACCTTATGACTTCTGACTATGGCTATTTTAAACCGCAGGTATAAAGAGGTCAGCTGATATTACTGGCCATGCTGAAACAATTTTTTCCCATCATGCGACATGGAATTATAGCTGAACTTCCATCCTTCCCTCTACTCGTATGACAACCACCATACTTAGCACATGTACTCTTAGTGGCAGTGTGAATTGTACTGCATCACTATACGAATTAATATAACTGACATATTAGTCATGTCAGTCACTGACTACATGTCAGTGAAATAGTAACTATTCTGACAATAAAATCTGGCAGTAAAACAGCAACCAAGCTCTATATGAGAAGTCTGCTAATGTGTTAGAAACCAAAAAATACTCCTGCTGAATAGCTCCAGTTTTAGTCTTTCTGAGCGTTTCATATGTTAAGAAAAATATTTCATCCATCCTCAGCTTACTGTTAGAAAACGATGACGCATATCGAATTGACTTTGAAATCCACATTCCTGCCGTAACTTTCCTACATACCCGCATAAAACAATTTGACTTTTTAATTTTAAATTTCATTTCACGCATGCAAATTCCCTCTTTATTAAATCTTATTATTTCTTTAAGAAATATTAAGAATAATTGTTGATATTAGCATAAATGTAAAAGACAACAGGCTATTCGCTACACAAGGCTGTCCTAATGTCATCCTTCCATTTGGAAACAAACTTTGGATTCCCAATTAACACGCCCTGAAACTTCTCAATAATGCTTAAAACAGACGGCATGATAATCAGAAAATATAATGAAATCGGGGCTAATCTTCCATGAGCGGGGTAAGTTGGTGCCAAACTATTTTCGTTTTCGATGTCAGACTTCATTTCGCAATTGCCAATTGCAAAAAGAAACGGCGATGTAAAATTTAACATCGTCAAACGAAAATGACGCAAAATGCAACACAAGCATATCCTTATTAACAACTATCTTCGCAGAACATTTTGGACACTCCGCATGAGTTTCAATTGAAGGAAATAAACCAACTTCTGAAATAAATTGTATAACACTTTCTTCGGACTCCAAAATTGTCAACGAAGAAAATATATTCAAATTCACGGAACTACTCTGATATGCGCCCTCAAGTCGCCAAATTTCTCGCCAAACATTTTTGGCGAGAAACTCCACGCTGCCATATTGCTATCTAAATTTTTTGTCTACATTTCGAACTTTAAGCCTAAAATGTCTCCGAAAACACGGTTTTCGCGAATGCATAACCGTTTTGAACACACAATTTAAGCTGAAAATCCGAAACAAAAACAAGAACTTTAGATAGCAAAACCGTAAAGTTTCTAACCAAAATTATTTGACAAGAGTCCATGTACACAGCGATATGTTTTATCTTCAAAAAACGTCTACGAATGGCACAATCTAGGCAACGAAATCTGCACACCTCGCTTTAATAAATTAACATAACAACAATAAATTTCAAAGAATATCATGTATACAGCGTCCTGTTTCAACTTAAGAAAACATCTACGAATTGCACAATTTAGGCAACAAACGAATTTACAAACTACGCACACCTCACTTTAATAAATTAACATAACAACAATAAATTTCAAAGAATACCATGTACACAGCGTTCTGTTTCAACTTAAAAAACATCTACGAATTGCACAATTTAGACGATACGCACTAATCAACAAAATAACTAAAATAAATTTCAAACAATTAAAAAAAAAACAATAACGACAGAAATTGATACTACAAAAACAATGAACATAACATTCTACAAAATAAGAACAAGAATAAAATAAAATGCACTTACCATGAATCAATGCTTTTTCTAACAGCAGAAATACCAATTTCATACCGCCTTTAACATGCCGCCACGTAATCACTATCGGATTTATATGTCACCCAGACACACTATCCAGAAAA